GGTTATTCTTTGGAGATATTTCCCTTTGGCAATCTGTAATCAGTCCCCAGCACTTAAAACATTCACAAAAATCAAGATCCTCTTCCTAGATGGAAAAGGTCCTGATTTTTACCATGATGCTTTTAGGTCATCATAATGACAACAGTCTGGTTTGTGGCTTTTAATGCTTTCCTTGTTTTTACTTACGTTGGATGGGATATGGCAGCTGTGCTGCTCCCTGGCCCTAAACTCCAGCAATGGTACGCTCAGATGAGGATACTGAGCTGGCACTGGGAGCTTAAAATGTTTATCATCTGGCACTTGCCAGTTTTCTGTCCTTTATGAGAGCTTCTGCTCAGGCTTGGATGGCCTCCAGGAGAGACTCTACATCAGTGAATTGACAAGATTGATGGCACAGCATGAGTTCAACCTCCTCTTTCATGGTCTGTAAAACAAACCTGACTCACCTTGTCTCTGTCAAATATTTCACACATATCCCTGTCACATCTGCCAAGTATCTGCTGTGCTACATGCTTCGGAAATACCTTCGGGCAAAGGTAGTGGGAAATGTTAATAGCAATAGGATGCTCTGAAGCCTCCAGGCTTTAAAAGAAACATATACCTTTCCAAGAATTATAAGAGATGTTTTCTGTGCCATTATAATATCAATTAGAAGAGATGGCAAGGAATGGGGCCAGATGCTCCCAGCTTCTCTTGTTTGTCTCTTTGTCTGTTTATGGGGGGCACTAATGCCATGTCCCCAGTGGCAGAGAGCCAGGGAGTGCTGAGTTGACTGGCAGAACCCATATGTGAACAAATCAGGATTTGTATTACCAACCCCTTGCCATAAACAAAAATATCACTCTGGGCTTGAATTGTGTAGTGCCTAAGGAGTGTAAAATGGATACTGGACTGGTAGTAAAGTATTTATGAGCCTGGACATCTGCAAAGCACTTCATGAGACTGAGCAAAACCTGTGAGACAAAAACTGCAACAAATCCTGAATCTCTCATACCCCTTTTTTCTGTAGAGCTGAGTTTACTACCTGCTGCCTGAGGCAGATTTGCAGGGCTTCCCAGTAAAGCCCTTTCAACAGCTGCAGAATTTGCCAGAGATGGCAAAGCCCCACCAATCTGACCTTGCTATAAAAACAGAGGGCTTATTTATGATCTTGTTTAGATGATCATCATTCCAGGTTGGACTAAATATATAGCCCTGGTGAATAACCTCTTCCACATGAGATATTTCATCAGGCACAAGGACAGCAGTAAAATAATTGGGTCCTCTTCTTTCTTTTCAGATATACTTTTTCTGCCTCAGATATATCTATTCTATCCCCCGAAAAAAAACAAAAACCAAAAAAAAATGGATTGCTCAGAATTATGTTGGAGGTGATTGATTCAATAGCTGAGAGGATGTCCCTAAGCCAGCTAATCTTTCACATGATGGTCAGGAGGAGGACTTCCTAAGCCAGCAAATGCTCATGGATTAGTCAGATTCCATGTTTATGTGAGAATACACAAGTAGAGGGCTTTCCTCAAGTCATCAAATCACATCACCAACCACTGCAGACATTGCAATGTGTCAGTTTGGCTCCACATAAAATGAGCACAGTCCACCTCAGAGAGAGGTGGACTCAGAGACAGACAGTCGCTCCAGATGTGTGTGTCACTGCTGGGAGCCACCTTCAGTGTGAGCAACACCTCGCACCACCTGAGGGCCTGGGGACCCATTGGGAATTGATGCACAACAACAGGCATGAAAAAGCATCCCAGCAGGAAGGATGCAAGTACACTGGCCTATGACCATGTGTCTTCATGCGGAAACAACAGCTTTGGGGCAAAAGATTTGTGTAGGTATTAGAGGGCTATCTGTGAAGAAAACCCCTAGTATATCAAGGCCTGGTGTATACAAACATATATGTGTATGTACACATACAAATGTATTTCCAAATTATCAAGAATGGTTACTGATTATTTGGAAGCGCATAGAATAATATAAAATAAAATCTTTGTAATGATGCACAGTACTGCAGAGCATTACTTTGGACAATGCCTGTGACTGGGACGAGAGTGCACAATAGGCTGTGGCTGTACTGTGTCAGCCTGTGTGTCACCTGAGCAGGTATGGGACACCTCCAACAAGCAGACACCAACTTTTCAGCCAGTGAGATGCTGGCAAAGTCAGCCATCAGGACCAGACACCAAGCAAGGCACAGAGGGTACCACTGCAATGAGCTTCCTGAAGCCTAGAAATAATCTGTGCAATTATCTAAAGGCAAGTGGCTGTGCAGGGACATGAACAACACCCACCACAGTGCAGCAAAACCAAACCTTTGCTTGACCACACATGTGTAGTGTTAAAGGCTGCAATCAGCAATCTGCTGCCTTAGGCTGTTGTTATTTTCTTCCCCATAAACTTGCCACCCAACATCTGGAGACTGCAAGACACAGTGGTGGGGATGGGGATGGACTTCTGCACTAGCCCCAAACTGCCCAGCAAACAGCAGCTCAGCTCAGTATCTCCAAGACTTTACACATGCAGACATGCACATGCATATGCATGTGTCCATATCTGAAAGTCAGAGGTTCCCAAATGATAATATTGATAATACCTGAAAATGGGACACTGCAAATCTGATGGGAAGGTTCTGCTTTTCCTGCTTATTCCTGTTCTCCCACATGTCACAAATCCAGTGTATTGGCTGTTCTCTCCCTCCCTCCCAGTCTTGCAGCTGGGAACACGTGCCATCAGCTTGGATGAGGGATCATACGAGAACTCTTGTTGGCTCAAGGATGTACAAGAAAAATATGCCTTGCTTCCCAACAGGCTTCATCTCAGGCTGTTTCTGACAGGACAGCCTATGTTCCTCCTCGCTTCATTCCTCCCCTTTGGATGTTTCTTGTGGTACATTTTTGACTGGTTCAAAACATTTGAAAATACCTTTCATCTGCTACCTAACCACAGAAGGGTGAATATTTCACCCTTCACAGTACAGAGAAAAGCACCATTAAATTTCCTGAAGGGTGTCAAACTATCTCTGTGACCACACATATTAATAAAGTAATGCTTATTTAAGCATGAAATGCAGCATCAAGCCATAAAAGCTAATCAGTTTAGTGCAGAACTACATCTCCTGGCTTTAGCAGGAGATGTGGAAGCTGTGCATGAGAGAAGGCATGTTTTTGAAAAGGGTAGGAAGTTCTAATTTTGTGATCAAATAGTACCTGCCATGACGTAGTGTCACTGCTTAGGCACCACAGAACATGAAAATCCAGTTTATTCACATAGAAATATGTCAAAATCTGACACCTTAATTTGAAAACAAAGTTGCAATCCAGAAAAAGGTGAATGCAAAACCATGGCAATAGAGAAGAGCTTACACAGCACATAGGGTTTGGAAAAGCATATTTAGTAATTTAATCTCTATAGGGGAAGGAGACAGACAGCAAAATAAAAAAAAAATAAATTACCCAGCTAAGAGAAACAGGAAAAATTGTACTTAGCAGTGCACAGAAAATAAAATTATACATGGACAGTCCTCTCCAACTATGAAGAAGATGATAAAGTTTGGGCCTTTGAGCTGTTAATACCACTGCTACTTTAAAATAAAAGAGAATCCCTGGTAAGTTACAAAGGTAAAACTAACAGTTCCATTTGTTGCAATTAATAAGATACTAATGAAGTTGCTGGCCACTGATAAATAGTTTTGAAAGTCAGAAAAGGAAAAGAGAAATCCAAAAGATCAGAAACATGATTGACCTGGAGTTCTCAAAGACAGAAGAGAGAGATGCATATCTGTAATATAGTGCCCTAAACTGCATAGAACTCTCCAAATTATTTTGATTAAACTGATTATTATGCTGTAAGTACAAAAAGCACAGACATATACCATTAGCAGTTCATGAGAGCCCCAATAAGATGCATTCTCAAAAGTCACTAGAAAATTTAACTCATTGCTCCAGGGCAAAGCTGTGAGTGTTGTGTATGGGCAGCTTTGTTCTGAATATATTTTGCTGCATGTACTTTGCTCTACGTCTTCTCATCACTATGCCTTTCTACGTTTCTAAAAAAGATCATATAATAATTTGTCACATTGATTTTGTACTTCTTTTTACAGAAATACTAACTTTGTTGTGATTTTTTTTTTTTTGTAATCGTAGAGACTTTCTTATTCCTCAGGTAGTGATTTTTTTAATGTTTCCAGCTCTGAGGAAATGTTTTCAAGGCAGCTCTGTCATTTTTCTGGACAACAGCTCAAGCACCAAACTACTTGCCACATGCAAAGTGATGGCAAACTCTTTCTCCAAGCTTCATCTCTAGCTTCTGAACTTTTCAGGCAGTTCTAAAATGCCTTTCCTTACAGGAAGGCTGTAATTACTATCAGAGGGCAACCTTTGTTATAACATGAAAAGAAGCACTCCAACTACTGTGCTAAACATTAGATGTTCAGCTGAGTGATAAAACACTATAATCAAGCCCCATGTGAATACCTCCTTCAACCAACCGTTGTTTGCGTAAGTGCTAAAACTTCAAATTGCACAGTATTTATTAGGGCACAGCATAGGCTTGTGAAATGAATGTCTTATTCTGCATATATTTAGAAAAACAGAAAGCTAAAAAACCACTGTTGTGTGCCGTGTTCCTCCCTGGCACATGCTCCCGTGAAAAGCAATAGTGGTGGTAATGGCACTCCAGAGATTGAATGTTTCTCTGCATGTGGTGGGCAAGTGCAGAGGTTTAAGCAATATTTTTGCTCTTTAAGTAAAAGTAAAAAAAATCATATGTTAATATTACAAAAAGGTGTAGTGTTTGCCTGCTCTTGCTGTTTGTGTAAACTGAGAGGTTTTTTTGTATTTTCTAGCAAAAACCTTCAATCTGTCTCAGTAGTTTCTGGTACCTTTCTCATTGTTTTCATTCAAAATGTGATAGTAAGTATGACTCCATATTTTATATTGCTTATTAATTACAAGTATAACATATTTATACTGTGTGCTCAGTTTCATCACCCTTTTTTGTCTTCCCACTTCAGGAGTAGGAATCTGTCATTATCTGTTCCACCATCACGCTGGAAATAGGAAAGCATTTTATACTCATGGGTAATTTGCTCTACAAATCTGTATGTGAATGTAATACCTATATGTGATGATATACATATATATCTAAAATTTATGTAGCTCAGGTCAACTTGCCCCTCTAAAGAGTTTTGTAAATTCCTTTAGTTTCGTTTATTCCAATTTCAAAAGTCTCCCACTTAAAATTTCCTGAATATGTCTGCAGTGGGTTTTTTTGGTTGGATTGGTTTGGGGTTTTTTTGTTACCCTTGGGAGTATTGATATAATTCCACAACTCGTCATTGTCCAATCAAGGTAAAAAGTTACTGACAGCACATGACACCCAACTTCACGAATTCATATGTACGATAATTAGCCCTTAATTTATTTAGATAAATTGTTTCTTTTTAATATTGTTATTGCTTAAGTATGGCTCCTGAAACTGGGCAGAAGATGGAGACATTGCAAACCCATCCCAATGAGCTAGAACCAGACTTCAGGCATAGCACGGAGTAGGGGCAACACACCAAATTTATGGTGCCAGAGCTACTACCATTCACTTTGATGCATGGAATCATAATTCCTCCTTGTTACGGAAAGCAGAGGGAATAAATATAGTGCACAGCAAATAAATCTAGGTTTTGATAGTTCATTTCTTAGGGTGAGTAGTCAAAGCATGGATCCAGTGCTCTATCTGTCCCATATGGCACCCTCTTTCCTGGTGTAAGAATGGGTAAGTAGTAGGAAACCTTGCAAATTTTTGTGTTTCATTGCCCAGGAACTTGATTGCTGGTGCAGAAAATACAGGGGAGGAGCACTTTGTGTTTACTTACTTCCTTATAGAAGTGAGCACAAAATCTAGCCTTCTGCTACACTTTCAGCAAGCAGTCAGTAAAACATTTTCTTTTTTTTTTAAATTTCAAAACATGCTGCAACTGCCCAGAAAAATCAACAACCCCATACTGGAAAATAGATAGCAAGGACATATAACTCTATTAGTAGTTGCAGTAATGCTGCAAGGAACAGGAATGTTTTTTACTCTCAGATGACTTATTCCTTAGCGAAGTGGTTGGCTGAAGACTCCAGAGAATCATTTCTAAGTGGGTTTTTCTTGCTTTTCTTTGTCATACCACTGGCAGTTCTGCCAGTGAACAGGAATAAGAAACAAAAACAGAGTATTGCTTATCCAGTACTATAGACCATCTCTTACATCAGTCAGCACTAGACACTGGTAAAGATGTTCTTACAGCTTTTTCTCCTGTTCGCTGATGAAACATCTCCTTAGTTATTATTCAGATTCTTTTTGTGAACCACACATAATACTTTACTAAACATGTGGATATCTAAGCCAAACTAATGCATTCTTTTTATTATCTTTTGCAAAAGGTGCCTAAGGATGCAATCAACTTTTCAAAAGGATTGGAAACCACCTCTGCATTGAGGATCAGACACACAGAGAAATAACGTGGAAAATCATATTTAAGAGCATCTTTTGGTAATTGAAACCTGCAAGAAAAAACAGTTCTAATTTTAAATTTTCTGCCTCTCAGTTTCATCACTTTTGTCCCGACTTCATTTTTCTAAGAAAGACTAAAGTGATCTCCATAGCTCTCTTTCTATGATTTACTTTCCTCCTGTCTTTCATGTTCCTTCTTTGTCTCCTCTCTGCTTTCTGACCATATTGGTATTCTCTAATTACTCCTGTTACTGAAAGCATAGAATCTACCCATTATAAGCAAATGAGCCATTATAAGCATGCCAGTAAATGACAGATGAAATTGAGTGAGATTTGAGATTGAGATACGCTAAAGGATGCTGTCAAAATATTTATGACATGGGAAGAGCACAGCTGAAGCATCAGATTAGTATTGCTGAAGATTGTGAAGAAAAACCAAAATGATTTTACCAAGATATGTGGGGTATGGAGAATATGTGTTGCCACTCAGACTTCTCGTTTGCAAACAGCAGATTGCAGAGTCATTGAGGTCTAAGTAATTTCAGCTGCCAAACCCTCTGAATAAACAGACCTTCTTCAGCACTCCATCAAGTTTTCAACATCTAGATAAAAAGAGTCTTAGTTGGTCAGGTCTATGAGAGGGCGAATGCAGTGTGTGAGGAGTAACTAAAGTCAAGATGTCAAATAACAGATCTTCCAGGTTTTCCTGATTATTTTCAGTGGTGAAAGTCACACGAAGCAGACTACTCTTTTGGAAGTATTTCATAGTAACAAAAAGTCTGACAATAGATATATTATGATTAAAAGAAAATTTGATTACACACATATTTTTACACAATGAAAACATGATTATTATGGAATAACATCTAGAAACTCAACTTGCAGCTAACAAATATATTAATGGCATTTAGATACATTTTTTGCCAGTTTTGTCTCTAAACCAAAGATTCAGACTCCTGGTACCAGCACAGACATGAGGGTTGAACCAGCTTCTGGATTTTTTGAAGTAAGCTTGCTCTGGTACCTGGTAGGAGGCAATGTTTGCATTATATTTTTGATGTAGAATAGCATAACAATGTTGTCTTCTCTCATTTCTACATGAAGAGTGCCTGATATAAAGGGCAGTTATGTTAAACTGGGAAGTATAAGGCAAGCTAAGAGTGGAGTGTGTGGTTCAACTCACCATACTGGTGTCTCTGTATCAAGTATCCAGTCTAAGCCAATGTGGTAAGCTTTCTCTATATTTAGAGGAAAAATAGATGCATTTCTGGAGTCATTTAGCTGCCTTCAGATGCATCCATCTAGGCATCTTCAATGTATGTATGTTCCTATATGCTAGATGTTTAAGATCCCGCTATAATCCTATAGTCAATGGGGAACTGCTCAAAGCCTCCAAAGGAATCTAGAGGGTGACTCACCCTGTCCTAAAGTGGGCAAGTGCATCTGCTCAGTCAAGCATCACTTACTCTTTTGATTTAGAAACTGTCTAAACATGGATTTCAAGATGTTTGCAATGGCCTGCGATACCCTCCTGGCCTCAGCAGCTCTATGCAGAAAGGATCAGATCTTTCCTAAATCATGTTTTGTATTTGCTTGGGCCATGGGCATGATGCAACTATCCTAAATCTCTACTGGCTACAGTGTTCAGCCACCTTCCCTTACCTATGAACACCTGATCTTACAGAAGAGGTGTGAACCAAGTCCCATCCTTTGGGCCAAATTCATCCCTCAGATAGACAAGTGAAGAGGCTGAGCTGCATTTGTTCTGTTACCAAATATTACTTTTAAGTCTTGTACGCAGCACAATGAATAAATAATTTTTTTTTTACTTCAGTACTGCCATTTCCAAAAGCACTTCAGGTCTGCTAGAATCCATTGTCCTGTGTCAGGACAATGTCAGGACAATGTCCTACTGTCAGCAGTAAATTTTGTGATTCAATTACTTTGATTAATATAAATCGAAAAACTCCTGTTCGTGTGCAAGGTTGTTATTGACAGAATACTTGCTATTAAAATGGAAACCAGCCCTCAGCTACTGCAACGTATTTGTTTAAAAGAGAATCTGGATAAAACAGAGACCTGTCTTTGCCTTGGCAGTTATAAGAAGAGGAAAACTATGTGGTCCACTACAGGACTTTCTTTTTTGAAAAAGATATAAGCCCAGTCTTAATCTCTACTTTATATTCCTATGAAAGCACTACTTCTTTCACTTTTTATAGGATAGAATAAAAATGCATTTAAGCAGAAATGGCTCTCCAGAAGGCCCTTGGTTTGAAGGAAACTCCACAAAATGAGACAATTTACATGGCAAAATACATCTTAGTTTGCATTAAAATTTTCATATTCTTATCTTCATGGTTTTATTGGTGCTGTGGCTATAAGGAAAATTACAAAATCCAACAGACTGATTATGTAAAAGCAAACCTTAGCTTTTTAAAAAATATCTTCATATTTTCTTCATCTTTTTCAAATGAAAACAGTATAAAAGGTAAGTGTGAAGTAATATAATATTTTCCAAGAAAGTATGAAAATACCCTGAAGTTCTACATCTGAGTGGTGACATATATAAGCTCTTTTATGAGATGTCTAGGAGTCTTTATTTGACTCTGGCATTTGAAGCCCACTGTGTGAGATGAACATATGCAGATTTCCAGATGCTGTGCTTTAATATGTCCATATTTTTAATAGACTGAATTTTCTAAGATCAGGTATGCTAATTGCAAGCTGCTCTGAACACATGGAGACTGTTCAGTTTTACAGCAATTCAAAGAATAACAGGACCTTTTAACTGAGTGTCCTAAAATAGAATAGCCTGTGAAGAATGTAAGATGGGAAGAAGATAAGGGGAATGACATTTGTCACTGATAGTTGTACTTTATGTATCAGAAGAACTATGTTTTACATGTTTTGGCTGAAAAAGAATGAAAAGCACAAGGACAACCTTTTCCCCGCTGAGAAAATGTTTTTCGCTGTTCGTTGGGCTGGACTAACTACTGCAAGAGACTCGGTTCCCCTGGCTCTGGGGGGGTTGCAGTATCCAGTTTTCACAACAGCTACAGGCAGAAAACCCAGAACCACAACGCTGACAGCCAGTGCAAATACATGCCTTGGTTTGTAAAATTCAATCATATTGGCCTATTTCTCATATAAAGGACATTGTCTAGTAAAGACAGGAGCAGAGCTGTCACATAGAAACATCTCCCCCAGCAACAGGACACTAGTGTGCCTTATTTGTAGCCTAAGAATAGTCTTAATTATGCAATTTCTGGGATTTCAGTTTCTTCTTATGGACAGTAATCTGTTTTTAGCTTCATTCCTATCCAGAAAAGGACTTTATTAGGATCTATTACACTTCCATTTCAACAGGTTTTGGCCACAGGAGGCCCTATGCTCAGTATTTCTGCTGTGCTTAATCCTCCCTCAGTCCCAGCTATGGAGCATCATCTGCCATCTGTACCTTCCATGCACAGAGGTGGCTACAGCATTCAGGAGCTATAGGAGTGTGGTCAGCCCTTTTTTTACCTTGAGACATTTCTTCTGTAATGTCTATATGAAGAAGGGAAAAAGGCAGGGGTTTTTACCATATACAATGCAAAACTCATCCATGAAAAATCTTTAACGAAACAGACCCAGTTCTCCTCTTATTTATTTGTGTTTAAGGTAGGAGGAACTTGGGGCAAAAAAATTGGGCTGATGGAATTAGACTGATGATTTAAAAAAGATTTATGGAAAATTTGTAAAGCAAGCTCCTGAAGGGCTTTGATTGTTTATGCCCTTTGTTGTGCCATTCAGCTGATGCCTCATCCAAAACATGCCTGTCACTAATGCTGATGCAGAAAGAAGCCAGAATTGCTCCTGGTAGTCCTAGTAGCTCAGAGGTCGATGGCATGGCCGTGGGAGAAGCTTCCCTGATGACAGGGTAGCCTTAAGCACAAATTAAACCCCTCCAAGGACTCTTCAGGTAGAATTCCCTTTTCTGTAAATGTGACACTAAGTGCTAGCTTACCTTTGCTCCAGATAATTTAATATTACCTTCAGCTGTCTCAAGTTGTTTTAGCCTCCAGAAGATTTCTTTTTTTTTTAACTTTGTTTTTCTCCCTTTTTACACAGTATAAAATCAAGTCTGCAAGCATTAAGATTCAGAGTTTCTAAAGCGACGTTCACTGAGAAAAAATAAGATGCAGAAACTTCATATCTGAGTTCCCTTTCTAGTTGATGGAGAGACATAGACACTTCTGGAATGTGATTCATCTTAACCTAAAATTAGGCCTCCTAAATAGGACAGCTGAATTGCACTCTAGATTACCTATTGCTCTCCTTTGAGTACAAAGCGAGCCAAAGGTGCTGGGCTCAGACATAGCTGTCGAGACTGCAAATGTCTAAAGCTAGGTGAGACGAATCCCAGTCCCAAATTTTGAAGAGCAGTGTATTTGCATAGACTGAACAACTGCTTCTGATATGACAACAAAGAATAAAATGCCGAAATCTTTCGTCTGTGTTTACTGCGGTGTTGGAGAACTTTTTGGTGAGGTAGCATTGCTTAGACTTTATTCTTTTTTGAACTTTCAAGTACAGCTAGCAGACCAGTTCACACTGAAAAATTTATTTCTTGAATTCCATCTTGTTTCTATATGTTCAGAAAGCATATCATGGGTCTCTCAGATGTTATCTGGTATAATTCACTGAATCATTTCTACTGCACTCTCCTAGGCTGCTGTTTGCTCTGCTTATGAGCAGATCATTTTTGCACACTGAAAATGTCGTGTTATTTCCATTTTTTCTGAATTAGGATGATAGAAGAAAATGAATTAGTGTGATGAACACAGATGGTGCTTTTAAATTACAATAATAATTTTCAGTTAATAGCTCACTATCCATCTTAAGAGCTCTGTATTTCCTAAACATTTGTTTATTTTGCAATTAGGTCATACGAATATTATCATATCAGTTAAACAAATTGTGTAACTTAATGCCAACAGCTTCAGTGGTCTGCCATAAATTCCACTCGCTGCCCTTTTTTCTAGTGGGTATCTGCACTG